CTCCAGATTGTTCATCCAGCCTATCTTATTTAGACAGACCTGCAGAGATAATAACATGCACAAAAACAAGACAGAGCAAAACCAAACAACAATATACAACAAAACCACCACCACAACAAACCAATGAGAAAAAAACAAAACAAAACACAAGAAATAAAAGCTTGTAGTTAGTTCAAGAACTGTTTGTTGGCCTTTAGGGGTATTTTCCAGTCCAGTATGTTGGGGCACCACTCCCTGGCCCCAAAGTCCACCTTCAGCATTCCCTGGGGACCTTGCCGCTCCAATCCCTTGCTGTTCTGTTGCACCCCCTTAGTGTTTTGCCTTGGTGTGGCAGGATCAGATCGGGCGCAATTCCAACATTGTGTCTCCGGTGTTGTCCCCTGTAGGGCTATGGGTCAGTGAGGGATGTCATGTTTCACTGTGGGAGACTGAATCTTTGTCTATGTATTTTCTGCACGTTCATAGTGAGACTAAACCATTGAATTCTTGCAGCTAAAAAATAACCTTTAAAATAAATATCTGATTCTGAATCACAAGTTACCCTTTGGATAAATAGTTGGGCAAAGTGTGAGCAGAAACACAGCATTTAGAAGTGGCAGGAATGTTAGTGTGAAAGGGCAGTGCTTTCAGAAAAGACAAGTTCAGTTTTGCAAATATTCGGGAGAATGAGTTTAAGTGGGTAGGAGGCTGCTGTTGAAGGATCAGGCATGTAAGTAAGCCATGTCCATGGCAGTTATTTGTAAAGGCCACTTTCCCAGGATAATACTAACTGAGAGGGCTAAAGTAATAGGGGACAGAGATGCAGCTATCTCTAGGATTGTGTTGTGGTTTTAAAAATTTTTGCCAAATTTAATTAGGGAGAAGAAGTAAAAAATTATGTATGTATGTATGTATGTATATATCCCCAAAGATTCCTAGTGGAGCCTAATCTGGAATAGTTTAATACCCTTGGGAAAAATAATTTAATAGAGAAACGTTGGCAAGGAAAATGTCCCAAATAAATCAATCTTATGCACTTTTAAAATTTCATGAAGTACTGTACTTGTGTAACATTTATACAGGGCTTGCATGCCACTGGCATAAAAAAGAGAGGACATTTAATGGAGTGAGGCAAATGTTTATTTTGTTTTAGTTGCTTGGCCAGTAAAGGCTCTATTTCATATATTGTATACTTCAAGAATTTTTATTTTGAGATAATGTTATTAAGGGTCACAGTGAAAGGGGACTTCCATGCCTTCACTTTCCCCTTTATTATTTAATATTATAATGGTATTATTACACAAGGTCAAATTTCTGGACATATCTGTGTGGATAGAGCTACTAAAAATTGAATTAAAAACTTTGACTCATACAAGTCATTTTCTCTAAGATGGCTGAGTTCAGGCACTCATTGCAACACATCATTTGGATCAGCATTTATCAAATTTCAGTGTGTTTGACTTACCTGCAAACCTTATTTATCTGCAAATTGCTATCCAGTAGGTCTAGGGTAGATGAGAGTCTGTAGTTCTGAAAAGCTACCAGGTGATACAGATTCTATTAGTCTCTGAACCACCCATAATTAGTAAGAATTTATCCCTTAGTCCATGTGATAGACTCAAGTTTGGTGTCCTCCATTGTGAATTTTTACGTATTATAATTATATGTACCAAATTTGAAGCTAAATATAGCTCGTTTAACATGCAGTAGAAGTGTATTCTGACTTAGGTTTCTACATGTGAAGGTTACAGATATGATGTAACTTGCTCTCTTTATGTTGATGGCAATGGAGCTACATAATTTGTAATGCCAATCATTTATAACAGATTATGTACAGTGTAGTATCGCTATTTACCAGAAGCTCTGAGGAATGCAGTGGAGGAGTGGGGGTCAATAGGAGCTGATATCAAGAAGTTCAAGCAGGGAGAGAATGTTTTGAAACTGATTATTGTAGTAATTGTACAATACCACTTGGTGTGGTTGAACTATGGAATGTTATGCTATCTGTATTAGATCCCAATAAAATGGTTTTGGGGAAAAATAAATTCTTCATACTTACTTTAAAAATATAAATTTATAAAATGTGACTCAATGAAAGCCACAGAGTTATTTTGGGAATAATCTGAGGAATCATATTATTTTTTAATTTAGGAAATGGCATCAAGACTTATAATGAATCAGCTAGCAAAAAAGGATTCTTTACTAATGCAAGCCATAGCATACTACCCACAGATCAGAAATTTAATTTCTCGAAGAAAAGAATGTGCAATATGTGGAAAGTACTTTCTAACCATGTGGCTGGAATGTGTTCAGTTTGTTCCTCCATCAAAGGTAAATGGTGCTTGTTGGTGAATGTGAGGATAAGACCTCCTCTTATCCTTTGTCTTTACCTAAAGACTTAGATCCTAAGTCAACTAATAATAACTAGATTGATATCTAAGAGTTAACCTTTATCATAGTATGATGTCAAATTTTGATAGATAAATTTGGATAATTGTCCATAATGATCATGATCACCCCACAATTTACATTAGGACACATATATTGTAGAAATATTCCATGTACATTGAAAATTTTAAACCAGAAAATTGAAACTTTATTCATCTTAATAATAAAATGAGAGCTATGGGTTATGCTTTGGCTGCTAATCGAAAGGTTGGCAGCTCAAAATCACCAGCTACTCTGTGGAAGAAAGATGAGGGAGGCTTTCTACTCCTGGGAAGATTCACAGTCTTGGGCACCCACAGAAAGAGTTCCACTTATAAAACTCTTTTATTTTTAAATCATTTTATTGGGGGCTCATACAATTCTTATCACAATACATACACACATCCATTGTGTCAAGCACATTTGTACATTTGTTGCCATCATCATTCTCAAAACGTTTTCTTTCTACTTGAGCCTACTAGACTCTGTCTTACAGAGTTGCTGTGAGTCTGAATTGAGTCAGTGGCAGTGAGTTTGGATTATTCATTTATTTATTTTGATATTCCACTAGGGAAAATAATTTTTTGTTAATACATGAGTGTGCACTAAGGTGCATCCATAATATTGTGCCTTCCAGGAGTTTTGCGATGGTAATTAACATAGCTCATGAAGTCCAGTCAAGAGGGCCAACAAACTTATTCCATAAAGGTAGCAAGCAATTAGGGCTTGTGGACCATAGGAGTTTCAAAGGAGAAGAGCAAATGGTTAACACTTGGCTATTCACCGGAAGTTCGGTGGTTCAAACCTACCAGTGGCATCTCACGGAAGTGTCTGTGTCGAGGAGCGCAGGTCAACTTTGCAACACGGGGAGTTGCTGTGAATTGGAATCGACTTGACTGGATGGCAGCTGGTTGCTTTGTCTGGTTTGTTGCTGCTGTTTTGTGGACCAGGTCTTTATTGCAAACGCTCCTCTCCGTCTTTGTCACTCAATAGTAGCTCTAGGTAAGGAAGGTGACTGTGTTTCAGAAAATAGGTATTTATGGACTCCAATGTTTGCATTTCGCATGATGTTCACAAGTCATGAAATCTTTTTCTTTTGGGGGTTTTCAACCATTTATAAATATTAAAACTGTCCCTAGCTTTCAAATTGTGTGAAATCAATTTGCGTAATCCTTTCTAGACCATCCAACATTTGTTTCCTTTCCCCTCTTGGTAAGCGCCTGACCTCTCTCGGGTAAAAGTGTGAGGTGGACACCCGAGTTACTCTCTGAAGTCATACATGCTGCAAATAGCTCTTTTACTTCCACGACACTGGGAATGAAACCTGCTGCCCTGAAGTATCCTGGTTCCCCAGGTCATTGATTTGAACCAAGCTTTGGATCAGGAAACTATTTTCTTTTATTCTGGTCATGTGGTTTTCTTAAAATTAAGGAGACTGTACTCATTTAGGATAGACTCCTCTTCAGGCTTGTAGGGATGCTGGAGAGCCTAGGGTGTAGTCATAGGGCTGTGTGTGTGTTTCAAATTTTGATAGGAGGCTGGGTTTCTAACCTTTGAAATAATGTACAGCACTAGAGAATCTCTGATTCTAACTCTTGTGGTTACAGTGATTTAGGGTATAATTAGACCTGGCTGGACTGATGCTAATAAGGGGCCCAAATTAGAATTCTGCTTATACCTGTTTCAGTAGCCATTGACCAACTTTACCTATGGGGCTTTAAAAAAAATACAGATGGCTCATACAAGACTAATTAAATCAGAATCCGGGGCATATGAAGTTTATACCATCTCCCTGTTGACTTTGTATTCCATTAACTGTGAAACTCCTCCCTATTTATTTAGGGATGTTCCAGCAGCACAGGACAATGCCTGTGTCTTGTTTATCTTGGTAAGCAAGACCTGGCTTGGTGGCTTTCCCATAACAAAAAGTAGGAATCATAGCCTGGGTACAAGCATCCCTTGGCTCTAGACCACCATAATAAAGTAGATTTCATGATAAAGTGCGCCACTCAATTATCTTTGTTTTTCCAATGCTTATAAAAGTTATGTTTACACTGTGATTTCATCTATTTTTTGTAGTCTGAAAATTTGAAAGATTGTAAGAATTACCAAAATCTGACTCAGAGACACAAAGTGAGCACCTGCGGTTGGGAAAAGTGATGCCAAGAGCCTTGCTTGACTCAGGTTTGCCACACACCCTCAAGGTGAAGAAAAATGCAGTAGCTTGAAAGTGCAGTAAGGTGAAGCACGATGAAACAAGATATGCTTGTATATGGATTCATCTGTGGTCTTTGGTGGCACGGATTGATTTATTTCATAAGAAGATATGGATAGTAGTAAAATAAATGGGGATGGGAGTGAGGAATCACTGTGGAATATTACAGGCAAGCACATTGATGTAGCATCCTCCATGGGAACCGAGTGAATCCTACAGACGGCTGCTTTAGGGCACTGTGTTCAGTTTGCTCTCAGTAAATCTGCTTCTCGAATCTCTAAGTAGAAAGGCTTTCAAGGCATCTTGCTTAAAGCAGAACAGAGGCTGCTGAGCACAAGGATGCTGTGTCCTCATTATCTGTGGAGCCTTGATTAGGCTTCTCACAGTCTTTGCTTCCCCGAGACTGTGAGCTTGTGTGATTACTGATGCCCTGATAGTTGTTGGTGCACAGGCTTATATTTCATATTTTTTCAACAGCTGAATGAGATCAGCACTGCTTGTATTTCAGAGATACATGATCTTTCTCATACTGCAATCGTGTGAGTTTCTTCTCTATCTGTCGATTTTATGACTAACCTCTATACAAACAACGTTTTTCTACCACTGTTTTTTTTTTAATGAAAGCAACAAAAGCTGGAAAAAATAGTATGTGAGCATATGGATATCCTTTATAGTGGCCAATTTTTAATATTTTGCTCAAATGGCGCTATCACTTTGTGTTGCTCCCAAACAAATTTGATATTCACATGAACCAAGAAAATGGTCTTACTAGAGAGTTTCTATTATGTTCTCACGCAAAAAGAGAAGAGTAGTTTCTAATTTACAAACAATATAAATAAAATACAAATATCCCTTGATACCAAGTAGAAAGCTTTTCTCAAGAGTATCAAACAGATGAATACCATGCATCTTCCAATGTGTCCTACTGTGGTGACTTGCATTTTGCTGGGAGGCCATTGGTATTTCAAATACCGGCAGGGTCACCCATGATAGACAGGTTTCAGTTGACCTTCCAGACAAACACAAAATGGGAAGCAGGACCTGGTGACTGACTTCTAGAAACTGGCCAGTGGAAAACGGCAGTAAAACATTATCTGCTGAACGATGAACCCCTCTGGAGAGAAGGTCCCCCCAAAACAACTGGGGCAGAGCTGCTACCTCAAGAAAGACTCAGCCTTAATGACGTTGAATCGGCATGGTGGATGGAGAAAAGGTTTGGGAATCTTCATTTACTCATGTGGCCTGACTCAAAAATGAGAAGAAATAGCTGCAAACCTCCATTAATAATCAGAATGCATTATGTACAAAATATGAAACTAGGAAAATTGGAAGTCATAACAAATTAAGTGGAAAGCATAAATATTGATACCCTAGGTATTAGTGAGCTGAAATGGACTGATATTGTCTATTTGAATCAAACAATCAGATGGTCTGCTATGCCAGCAATGTCAAATTGAATAAGGTGAACATTTCAAGATCTATCCTGCGTTACAAAGCTGTCTTTTTGAGAGGATAATTTCCATGCATCTATAAGAAAGACCAGTTGTGGTAGTTACATAATTTCATGTTAATTTAGAAAATAAAGTGTAGGGATGGAGTCAAGCCTGTCAATCAGATCACAGCCTGATACCTCCTTATGGGTGTGACCTTTTCATGAAGAGGATTCTGGGAACTTCCTCTCTCTTTCTGCTCCACTTTCCTGTTGGAGAGCCACATGGCTGAGACCTGCCAGCACTGAGGTGCTTTCACTGCCATTGGATCCATAAGACTTTGTACCCAGCGGACTTATGATCTTCCTGTGTTTTGCATCACTGCATGTGACTGCGTGAGTCTGAAGAAGGATTTTTGGACTAGTATTGGACTTTTGGGCGAATATCAGACTTATGGACTTGATCTGGACTGGGCTGGGATAGTTTCTTAATATAAAATTACTCTTTGATATAAAGCACTTTTATATATAAATATCTGGATTTGTTTCTCTAGTCAACCCAGCCAAACACATTATGGTACCAGAAGTGGATTACTAGAGAAACAAATTATGAAGATGGAGAGTGGATGCTTGTCTGACCTTTGGCTGACAGCAGTCTTTGGCTGACGGCAGTCTTTCTTTGATTAGCCAGAGGTCAGATAGGCCCACATTGTTTACTTGATTGTTTTCTGGAAAGGACATGGGAAGTTAAAGTTTTGATTATTTTCCTTGGTTATTTGATTATTCTTGTTTGAAATGGTGAAAATGAATGTGATTAATGTAAACTATGAGCTCAAAGGGTAAAATAGCTCCTAGAATTTTTCCTCTGACACCAAGCTCCTTGAAGGTCAAAATGGCTGACAGAAGGTCAAACTGACTGACAGAGGCCCCACCCAGGCTTGATGCAATCAGAAGCCTAAGGCCATATTGCATATGAATGGGATAGTTTAAATAAAGATTGAAAATTACTTTTAAGAATGTGTTTAGGATCTGGCTATTCTAAGATGACACTGATTTCTTCTAACTATTGTTAGTGATATGTGTGATAGAAATGATTATGAAATTAGGGAGTTTGTAAGTTCACATTAATTTGAATCTTTATATAGATCAAGACATGCCTGCAAAGAAGGTTCTGCAAAGATAAGCCCCACCCAGTGTCTTGTGCTCAGGACATTTTCCTTTGAGGAGACTTGCCTAGGGGCTTGTTGACAGACTGAAAAA